GCTTTAGATGTTCTTCCAGGATTTTTAGGTCAACGTTCACCACCCTGTCTCAAAATGTGATGATTCAGACCATGTTCGAGAATCCTTTTGTAACAGGATGACTCCAGACACAAAAGCACAGCTGGTCCCATCAGCCCACTTCTTTCTGTCTGCAAAAATGCTTAACTCAACTTTTCTGTTCAGAGTGTGGAGGTCAACTAAAGGCGGAAGTCAAAACCAAGGACCTGTTCTCCCATGCCCAGTTTGGAGACAATAACTACCCCGGAGCCTCTGACTGCGAGTGGGTGATTTCGGCGGAGAAAGGCTACGGCGTGGAGCTCATCTTCCAGACCTTTGAGATCGAAGAAGAGGCGGACTGCGGCTACGATTACATGGAGCTCTTCGATGGCCCTGACACAAAGTCTCCACGGCTGGGACGTTACTGTGGCTCAGGGGTAAGAACATTATCCAATAATTCTCTGAGATTCTTTTTTGGGTAACTCCTGCTGCAGAGAAGCACTGTGACTGGCCAGATGTAATTATCAGGGAGTTGTTGGAATTATTAATCCTGTCAAAACTGATCCTGTCGCCTGTAATGGGGTGACTTTTCTGACCCGGCCTGGGGATTTTGATTCTGGCTTTAAGCCAGCGGGCTCCTCCTGAGTTTAGGAGTGCTGCTGTGGAGGTGGCTACAGGTCAACATAGCTGGTCACTCCCTGGGTGTCGCTGGACTCTCTGGCACTTACTTCCAGCGGTGAAATAATCAGCCGATGGAGGCTGCAGCTGGTCTATGAAACAATGAGTCCTGTGGGGAATAGTAACTCGAGTTTCATCAGGTTAGAGAACAGCTTGATTTCATTTACAAGATTTTCTAATAAGCTTTGGCCTCTTATTCACACGCATTCTTATGAGTCATTCGCTGTAGGGGACGTAACAGCCCGAGTTCCTCGGGGAGCAGCTCCTCAATCAAGTTTCCTTTTATAAAACAGGTTGAAATAAACTGACACAGTTCAGTCCAAAGTAGAGTAAAAACTCATTACGTTGTGGGGGAGGTTTACTTTCAGCCCCGAGGCTTTTCTCAGTTACACAGTAGACTGTTTCTGGGTCTACAATAAAACAGAATGGGCCGCTTTCTTCTTGTTTTAAATCCCTTTCCCAATAAGCCAAGACTTACAGGGCGTTATGTTGTGGCGAATTTTCACCGGCGGCTTTAATCGGCAGTCCGGTGTGTTTACAGTTGGTCACGCGGGCTTTGACTACTCTGACACTGCAACGCTCATCTTTGTGACAACCACGGGGCAGCTGATTCGGCGCCTTAACTAACTAATGATTGCTCGAATTGATTTTTTTTTTTTTTTTAAATCAATTTTCACATGATAATGGTGTTCTGACAAACACTTAGGTCAAATGTTTAATATTTTTCTGCTCACGTAATGCAATTACCTCCTCTTTTTGAAGCATGTGTGTAGCAACACGTTATATGGCTCTATTCAGGGAAGAAATACGCTTTCTGCAGCGGTGCACTTCAATATGAAGCTCAAGCAAAAAACAAACAAAAGGAAAAAAAAAAAAGAGGAGAAAGCTGCAGAAGGCTAGTCTTGGACCCAGACCAATGGCCCCTGGCTTTTACAGCAGTAGCAGTCAAGAAGCTCTGTCAGACTCGCTGATTGGACTTCAGCATGTGTGAAGTCCTTTTAGTTTGAATTGAAGTTCAGGGAAGCAGAAAGCCACAAACGAATCTGTTGTTTTGTCCCTCCTGACAGCCTCCAGAGGAGATCTACTCGGCCGGTGACTCCATTGTGATCAAGTTCCACTCCGACGACACAATCAACAAAAAGGGATTTCACGTCCGCTACACCAGCACCAAGTTCCAGGACACACTGCACTCACGCAAGTGACCAGCGGAGGCCAGAAGGGGCCGTGCAGGGCAAAGGGGCAAACGGAGGGGCCCCCAAGGGAGGCGCCAGCCAGACGCTCGGATCCCTTCGGCCAACAAAATGAATCAGACACGACAGAACAGCCGCAAGACCACCAACCGCACCTCAGCTCCTAGGGGCTCTAGCTCCCCCCACAGACTGTGAGGAGTAAAAGCCATTCTGCAGTACACCTTGTTTTTACCTTTCTATGGTTAGGATTGGGGTGGGAGGGTGGATGTCTGCTTTAGGTGGACAGTAGGGGAAAATGTATTGACCCAATACCCCCAGATATGTTTTTTTTTGTTTGTTTTTTTTGTTTTTATTATTCTTTTTTTCTTCTTTTTTTAAAAATACATGCCGAGAAAGGCACAAAGGAAAACAGTGGATTCTCAGGACCTGTAGGAAGGCGGGCATCAGCTGGACAGATCCCTGCTTTTGTCAGGCCAGCCTGCCACATGCACGGGGAGGAGAAGAAGAGGAGGAGGCATATGGGGAACATCTCCTGCACTCCTCAGTAAAGGCTCTCTTCACCTCACTCTCCTCTCATCCCTTTGATTCAAGGATTCCTATCCATAAGAGGATTAAAAGGACTTGACTTGAGATATCGATACTGTATGTCAGTCAAGTGCATGTAATTCCAAGGCAAGGAGGAAAACGGTACCGTGACAACACCAGCATTTGTAATTGGCTTTGTCCTGACAACCAGCGGCAAGATTCTCGTTGTTACCATTAACAAGCAAATGTAGGAATCTGTTATCTTATCAAAGGACTAATAAATGAAATGTGGTCCATATCTTCTGGTTGGTAATTGCTTGCCTGATGACTGGGTATTACTGTACCTCCGTGTATAAAGTAATGTTTGATCTTTCAAAGGGAACGTGTGCTTTTCTCAGCTCGAACCAGTTAGCACTTTACAGTGAATTGTTCCAAAATCATGAGCTTATGGAATTTTGTGAAATGCAATGCCAGTTCACTTGTTTTTAAATGCATTTTATCTCTTATTCTGTTATTATATTTTTTTTATTTTTTTTTTTGGTAATTGCTCCATTTAGTTCCTCAGGCATACTTGAACATTGTGTGTGCCCTGTAACATGGGGTAATAAAGATATGACTTATGTTTCAGTGTTGATTTACACGTCTGATGTAAAATAATTTCTCTCCAGAGAAAATGCCTTTTTCTTGCTACAATGAAGTATTTCTCAAGAACCAAACGAGCCTGGGTATTTATTGTCATAGCGACTACATATATAATGTAATGGGGGGGGGGAGGTATTTCTGAAGTTAGCCTTATAATTGCCTTCCAATGTATAGCCAATGGTCAGTGTTGAATATACTTTGTTGCTCACTCATTCCTTCTCTTTATTTATTATTCAGCACCATGTTGCATGAGCCTTCTGTGGTCTGACACACTTGTTTGATGACTGACCTTTTATTCATACTGCTAATTGAGCTCAGCTCTGTAAACCTGTTTTTTAGGCCACTGTAGTTAAATTGTGTTCTGGCAGAGATTACCCAGGACGTGCAAGAAGGAGTAACAGACCAGAGGACTTGAATGGTCCCGGTTTGAAGTAAGTTTGTTGAAGAACCTTTGCAAACACAGGAAAAGAACAAAGTCAAATATAAACAGACTATCTCTTATTCATATTATCTGTTATTCAGTATTTATAGACGGGAGCTTTTTCATTCCAGACGACAGTAGGAAAGCATTTGCTTTTCCACTTTGCTAAATATTCATTCCTCTACATGTAACATCACTCTCCCTCTGATTATTCCATTACTCTCCTGTTGTTTTTTTTCTTTCCATGAAAATATGAGGAGCAGAAAGATGTTGCTGAACAAAAAAAAAAAACTGCTCGAGTGCCTGACAGTAGGGCCTTTACTCTACTTAACAAAAGTACTGCACATACATAAATGTGTAACAAGACTGCAGGCTTGGAGAGATCTTTTTACAAACAAAACAAAAACGTACCATCTAAATTAATAGACATGGCTATAGGTGGGTATAAATAAACATAAGTAGAGACACATCTCAATATTTCTCATTATTTTATATCTCAAGAGTTAAATAAAAGTCGATAAATGAAGGGGTAGCGAGAGAGATATCAATAGATGGTAGACAGAAATAGCTGTGAGAGATGTCGATATCAAGCTCGATACATCTAGGTACCCTACAAGAAGCACTGCGGTAATAAAAAAAGAAGAAGGAAATGAATGTGAAAGGTACACAGACATTCAAACACTCCCCTTCATTCACAGTGGAAATTAAAGCCTCTCCAGAACAAAAGTCAATGGGTTTTTTTCTCCTTCTAATTTTACTCCTATTTGTTCTCATCTTCCTACATCCATTTCCATCACGCTGAGTAGAAAATGCCTCTTTGTGTAGAACAGCGTCCCTTTATTTAATAACCAGCATGAAACATTAATGCAATTCATTGTTTCATCTGACCTCTTTCATATGAGTTATTAACAGCCGCCCAGAGATGCGAAGCAATCTACAGTAGCTCTCCCGGTAATTATGTGATTATAAGCCAACAGCGACAGGCCGTCATCCCGCCGCTCCGTTACATAACCGTACAGGAGGAAGGAAAACAAAAAGAAAAGACCCCGATCTTTTCTGCACCTGCTTTATTTGACATCCACGAGTAACAACACGCACATAAACCAGAATTTACTGCTCCTGCTGCAGTCAGCCCCTCTCCCCCGACCGTTATTATGTTGTGCGGTTTGACAAATGGCCGTCACCTTCACTGCGGGGCAGAGTGGAGACGCTATTGAGTGGTGCTCTGAATTGTGGGAGAACAGAGCAGGTTACAGTGAGAGGCTGTGAGTGTGGTGGAGGGCTTGTGGAGGGTACACCTGAGGAGCTGATAAAAGGTCTCTTTTAACCCAATGACAAAAATAGACACCTTGAAGCATTTTGTAAGATCTGAGATAAAACGAAGTCACAAAAGAGGAAAGTGACTTGTGCTAAATATTGGCTTTAAGAGTTCTTCTAAACGTGTGTGTGTTGGCAGCATCCAAAGCTCAGTTCAGAATGAGTAAGAGCAGCATACGCAGACATTTACATCACCTTACATTACATTTAACATAAAAACAGAGTATAAATTTGGTTTATAGAACTTTTAATCCAGCCACAGTGGGACATCATAAGCTCTGATACAAATGTGGCTGAAAAATCACATTCAGTGCAAAATCGAGACAAAGAAAACAAAACAACGAATAAAAAAAAACATTCTGATGCTTCACAACATGGTCACGTATCAAAGTGAACCATTAACACTGGTCTTCACGGACATCGCAGCGCTGCGCTGTCAGTGTTCACAAAAGCAGGTCACAGAACAGTCAGCAACTCTTCACAACTCAATAAGTAACACAGATGAAAATTGTGACTCAGTCAGTGTTTCCCAACAACTACTCCATCATCTAGGGCTGAAGATGAAGGGGGGGAAACAAACCAAAAACAGCTCGTGTGAATCAGAGATCAACCTACTATTATGAGTCACATATTCAGTTACACTAGATTTTAAAAAGAGACACCCAGAGTGAGGATTTTTTCCCCTCTATACTTAACAATCCACTGATCAATACAAGTGAGAACAAAGAAAAAAAACTGTGATAACTCTGACATCTTTGTGCTGTAAAGTATGTAACCGTGTACTGAGAGGTTGTTCCACAAACATGGAAGAAAGAAAATAGTTCTCACAGGTTGCATACAGAGGAACGCCTCTGTGTGACATCAGTAGTGTTTATGTGGTGAGTGACTGCCAGGCCATGGCACCCAGCTGTCCCCCGACCCACCACAGAGCTGCTCCCAAAGAGGCGGCTGCCATCACAGCCAGGCTGGCCTTGAGTACAGCGCCTGGGTGTCTGCTGAAGCGGGCCGGGGCCACGCAGGCCAACGTGGCCACAGTCACGGTCAGGGTGAACAAAATGGAGACGGCCGTGTTAATGGCCACAATCTGGCCGAACTTGGCAAAAGGCACAATGACACAAAAGAAGAGAGGGACTGTGGAGATCGCTGTGGTGACAGCGCTGGACACTATGGCAACACCCACATGGTTCACTGCCTCCAGAGTCCGCCTCTGCCTCTCGGCCTGAGGCTCCTGCGAAGAAAACCGAGATTTAAAAAGTGCAGACTATGAAAAAAAAAAAAACACGCTGTGGTCAATTTTAAATTAGAATAGTCGCGTACCAAGTTATGAGAAGGCATAGAAGGTGTGGTCTCCCCAGCCAGAAGGTATCCCTCCACCAGGTGTAGACAGTAATCCACTGAGGATCCAACAAGTATTGACAGAGAAATTGCCTCCACTGCTCCCATCTCCCATCCCAGCCAATACATGAGCGCCACTACCAGACAGATCACCCCTATTCAAGACCAAAAACATGAGGGAAATGCACTCTTGGTTATTTGAAAACATCACTTTCAAATGTAAATATGTTAGTGCGGCTCTTACCGAGAATGGTCACGAGCACGGGCAGCAGCAGCAAAGGATGTGCAGTAAACACAGAAACAGTTGCCACGCAGATGGCCAGAGACAGCAGCAGACTCCAGAGGGCACTCTCCACACCTACAACAGGATCAGAGGGCAGCACCTTCAGCATTTTTATCTGTCTCCAGTTTTAGAAAAGGAAAAAACAAAAACGAACACTGCATCTCTTTGACATCTGCTCCACCTCTCACTTGCCTATGATTTCCATGAAGATCTGCTTCCAGTGCTCACACGTCTGGAAGCCTCTTTGCAGAGAAGAGGTCTGCGGGAGAGTTGCGAGCTGCTCCTGGATGAAGTTCTCCCACTGAAGGAAATCGGAATACGTCTGAAATGAGGATTTTCCCTTGTATGTGGTCTTACAAGGGTGGCGGAGGAAGAGAGAGAGAGAGAGAATTAAGGGGTTGCGGCAACTCTGAAACCGACGGCGGTTTGTCGCATGGAGATGAAGAGACTTACAGATTCGAAGGCCATGGACAGCCAGCGGACCTTCCCCCCATGCATTCCCACCGCTCCATGGGACAGCTGCCCTGGGAGCAGGTTGGGTTCAGGGAGAGAGTGGCACTCGGGATGAAGAAGAGGCAGAATGGAAGATAGCTTGTTGCCTGTGAGGAACAACAGACTTTTTAGCCTGCTTGCTGTCAAATCAGAAGACCTAACCTTGCTGATTTGACTTAATATTACTTTTTTGTGCCACAAAAAAAACCCACATTTGAAAAGTTACTTTCCCTTCCCATCAGATAAGCAAATGTTACCTGACGGCAAGCACTGTGCTCCTCCCGGCTTCACGAGCTGTGTGTTTGCACTAACAGCTTTGCAGATTTTACAAAGATGCCCCATCTCCTGGAAAATATCAAAGTCTGGATCCAGTATAATGCTGCCCTTTGGAGAGAATCAAACAACAAATTTACACAAGGTGAGAAAGTCCTTTTAAAATCCGGTGCGGCGTTCCTCCAGTCGACAGTTTAAGATGCATGTGGCGCAGGTGTGACCATCACCATATCTCCAATCACGTGGTTGTCCCTGCGTTCGGTTCGGTTCACTCCCAGGATCCCAAACACAAGGAAAACCATGGCTCCGGTGTCGACCAGAGGACGCACCGCCGGTTGGCCGCACACACCGCCGCTGCACGGATTGAAGCCAAACGTTTTGGATGGTTTTGTTTTGGCAGCAGATGAGGGATCTTTGAAAATAGAAGCAAAGAAAACCCTTTCAACCACATTTATTTATACAGGGCAAAAATATCTGCATAACTGGTGTACTGTGGAAAAAAAAAACTCTCCAGAGGATTCACTTTAAGAGGAGAAGTCACATCAGTGCGTTTTCTCTGTAGTTAAGACTCAACTAAATGACAGGAAAAAGACATTTGTGCAGCGTGACTCATGCGGAGTGAGAACTGTTTTCCTGATGATAACAAACAGTCTTTATGTTTATCACGAGATGCTTGCTCGCTCACCGCTGGGAAAAAACGTATAAAAGCTTCCCCGTGAAGCTCCATCAGGCCCAGAGCTAATGCCACAGCCTGGCGGGTTGACACACACGCGGCTGGGATGAGGTCTCAGGCGGCACTGAGCAAAGTACAACTTCCTAAAGGGAAAAAGCAGAGCTGAAAAATGACAGATTTCCCCACTAAAACAACCTGACAGCCTGTCTCAGTCTCTGTTTTACATTCTTCCTTTGTGCCTTCACCTGCTCTGCTGCTGTGGAGATGATGCTACATAAAAGGAAAAATCTGGCGTCCAGCCATGACGAGGATCACACGAGCCGGACGTGATCATCCAGCTGTCGTACGGGAGGTATACGTGGGAAACACACACTGTCATTCTGGCGGTGTAATTGCCATGGGGCTGATTAAAAGCCTATTCAAATAAAACAAGATTAGTTGTAAGCTGCTTTAGTGAGACTCGAATTATTACCAATATAATCAGGTTGACTTTTTTCCTGCTCTCACACCTGGAACGATGACACCTCCTCACGCTCTGTGCTGCACATCTTCCACGGGGACGGGATGCTGGCGTTAAGGGAGAAGCGGTAAATGGTTGTAGAGGCTCCGTGGTCTAACTTTGATACGTACACTGTCACAAGAGGGCCTTGAAAAAGGTACAAAGGTCAGGATTTTAAAGACAGGAAACAGGGCTTAAATGAGAAAAGGGCTGGGTTTGGGGCTTTTTTTTATGTGCTGGGTTTTTACCTGTTTGGTTAGCGAGTGAGTCCTGTTTCACTTCACTCAGAGCAGCAGCGGGAGTTGTCCTGCTCGGCCTCTGCTGATGTGTAGGATACAAAAATGCAGACGAGGCAGCGTGGGTGGGCAGTGGGTGGGGTTTTTCCATGAACACACCTGCAGGACACAACATGTATTTTTTTTTTTATTTTGATATTCGTTCCAGATCTAAGAAGTTAACCGAGTTGTGCTTCAACTCTTACCTGAGCACATGGGACAGGAGATGCCTTGGCCGCTGAGGTTGCTCCGCAGAGCCAGCAGACTCTGGAGGTTCGTATCTTGGCGGAAAAGAAGGGGAGCGTGAGTGGCCGGCCTCAGGAGACAACAGAAGGCAGCTGAGAAGACCAGAACCAGGAGAAAGACACCTGGGCCAGAAGGGAGATGAACAAACAATGACAGAAAAGAGGGTTTGATAGAACAGTTGTGGGACAGATCAGCAGTGAGGATCAATTACAGTTACTCTCAAAGAGTGTGGATGAATCTTTCATGAGAATGCTTTGCACTCACTCTGACAGGCAGAATCCCCTCAGGGCAAACAGAGATTACAGAATTTCTTCAATAATTCTTACTTAAGCCTGAGGTGACTCTCACATCTAAACCAAACATTAAGAGCTCTGCACACAATATCTTAGAAGCCCCAACCGCTGAGTTTTGGGATATAAATTGATGTTGTCTTTGAAAGTTCTGAGTTAAGATTAAATCTCACCTAGAACAGTTTTCCGTCGCTCCACAACCGGCTTAGCCACTAAGTGCTTCAAGGCCCACTGAAGATTGGTGCTCACCACACCCACGTGCCGCTGCCCCGGAGGGGACAGAGGTGTCTCGACCGACAGGGACAGGATGGCCGCATCGCCGTCTGTGTCGCAGAAGCCTGGCAGAGACGAAGGAAAAGAGCCTCAGAGGTGCCCCGCGAGACACACTTTTACAACCAATCCTCCTGCCAGCCTTCATTCCAATGCTAGGCAGATAATAATCTCACCTGGCTCCATTTCCACTGACAGAAGAGCCACATCATCATCCTCGTCCGACAAAGGGCTGTGGTTCGCCGACAGGCCCGAAAACAGCTTCCAGCTTTGCAGGGTGGAGAGTTTAGGGGGAGAGAGAGAGAGACAGCTGAGGGGGATTAGATCTGGGTGGGTGTCACGCAGCACGCACAAAAAGTAAGGAAGCAAAAGCTTACCAGCTCAACCAGGCATGTTCACGAGGCTCCACAAACTGTGTCCAGATACAAAGGGCAGCAGGCATCAGGACAGACACCCAAAGCCAGCAGCAGCTGACGATGAGAGCCATGAATAGGCCGAAGTCATGCACGGCTGGGATCTGAGTGTCAGGTGAACAAAGCGCAGTGTAAAGGACCTTGAAACATTCAATTTGTGCTTATCTTGGGGAAAATGGTTGTCTGCTGAGAGAGGCACTTCTATTGACCCACTGTAGGAGAGTCATTTATACGCCCTGTACATGTCCTATTAACCGCTGTTATTTTCTTTTCTTTCTCTGTTCCATAATTACCTGAGAGAAGGTGTTAGCGGCATAAGCGGCCGCAGTCGTGAAGGAGGTCAGAAATGTCGCTCGGCCAGCTGTTTTAATTGTGTAGATCATTCGCTGCTGCGGCTGATGCAAATGAGAAGCCTGTCTGAAAGTGCTGATGAACACAAACACATCATCCACCCCTGAGAGATGAAGGGTAGACAAAAGGAGGACTTCTTAGCACAACTCATGACAAAGAGTTGTAGTTTTCCTCATTTCAGAGCAATAGCTCCACGTAGCATTCACATACAGCTGAGAGTCAGAAAATAAAAAGGACACTATGTTTGCATCTTGTGCGTGAAATCAGCTAAAGCCTGCAGCTTGTTAGTTTAGCGTGAAAAGCCTGGAAATGGGAGCTAGATGGGGACCTACGAGAGGCAGAGAAATACAGTGAATTTTCACAGTGAAGTCAGTCATTAACACTTATACAGAGTATATATAATTACTCTGCACACAACACAGCTTTACTACAGCATGTCATATGGAGGGGATTATGGTTTTATGGGGGATTGTGCCATTTGCTTAACTGGTGACAAGACTCCATTGAGTCACTAGAAGTAGTAATTAAATCCCCTGTAAAAGTACAAGGTGGCACTTTTACATTTTAATGAGATTTAGTGGATCTGAGAGGCAGGCTTGTGGCTTCTTCTTCAATTCTGTATTTAGGTGTAGCTAAGCCAAGCTTGCCTTGAGCTTCACATACGATTACGTCTAACATTATAACCACTGACAGGTGTATAACACTGATCATCTCTTCATCGTGGCACCTGTTAGTGGATGAGTTATATTAGGGAGCAAGTGAACGTTGGTCCTTTAAGTAGATGTGTAAGAAACATAAGGATTTGAGTGAGTTTCAAAGTGTGCTGGCTAGACCGGTGCTCCCGGTCTGCAGTGCTCAGTATCTATCAAAAATGGTCCAAGAAACAGTGGTGAACCAGCAACAGGGTCATGGACAGCCATGGTTCAATGATGAACGTGAGAAGCGAACGCTGGCCCGTGTGGTCTGATCCAACAGAGAAGCTACTGTAGCTCAAATTGCTCTAAAAGCTGAATGGTGGCTCTGATGGAAAGGGTCAAAATACACAGTGCATTGCAGTTTGTTGCAAATGGGGCTGCATAGCCACAGACCAGTCGGGGTGCCCATGCTGACTCCTGCAGACTATGTACATCCTTTCATGGAAACGGTATTCCCTAATGGCCGTGGCCTCTTTCAGCAGGATAATGCATCATGCCACAAAGCAAAAACGGATCAGGAATGGGTTGAGGAACAAAAACATGATTTTGAGGTGTTGACCTGGCTTCCAAGGCCCCCAGATTTTAATCCAATCAAGCATCTGTCCAATGTGCTGGTGAAACACGTCCAATCCATGAAGGCTATACAGCAGAGTTTGCTGCTAACATCATGGTCTAGAGGAATCCATGCCTCGCTGGGTCAGGGCTTTTTTGGCATCAAAAGGGGGACCAACACAATATTAGGCAGGTGGTCATAATGTTATGGCTGTTCAGTGTATTTTACAAACCCCAAAGTGGCATCAATCTTCATAAACACAAAGTGTTTTACAAAATGTCAAACTATTGCTTAAACGACTTACCGATACCGATAATAACAAACGCTGCAACTCCGTTGAGAATGCCCAGGTACCTCACGCCAAACACGACGTGGTATAAGAAAAGAGCCATCAGGCAGCTCAGTCCAATGCTAGCAAGTCCAAAGAAAGTCAAAAAGACTGCGCAGAGACAAGAAGAAGCTTGTAAATATTTCTGCGCCTTCAAACAGAAACATGTACACACATCGATGTAAGTGAAATACGGGGATACTGTACCAGAAAAGGAGGTAAGGACGTAGACAAGCACAGTAATACAGGCTCCGCTGACCACAGCCAGCATCATGTCATTGTGGAAGGTGTGTCTCACCTCGTCATCAAACAGCTCTGTTCCCCCATATAGCACCTTTACCTGACTGGAACAGGTCACACAGACAAAACAACTTTGAGTGTTTGCAATAGCATTCAGTACCTGTGAATACGGGAGTTTTTACTGACCTGGTAGACTGGTTGGCCAGGATGTCTGCATATTGGACCACAAAGTTTTTGAAGCGTGCTCTCTGCTCATCCACTCGGTCCTGCAGGGAGTAGTAGGATGGCAGAGGAGCTCCGAAGTGGATTTCACTGCGTAACAGGGATGAGGACAGATGTTCCGGGGACAGACTCTCATCCACATACCAGTAAAACTGCGGGTGGGTAATGGCCAGGCCCAGAGAACCTGCACATGAGGAGAATCAGCAAAGTTAAGTTGGGCTACCCCAAGGAGTCATTCAAGCTTGAACTGGAATTTCAACCTGCCTTTAATATCAGCCAAGTCTGGGCCCATGCCATCATAGTAGATCTTGCCTCCTCTCTCACTGGGGTAGAGGTATGACAAGAGGGAGCTGGGTGGGGAGCAGTAGGACGGCCCCAGTGGCAGATCCCTCAGTAACTCCAAAGGCTTCCAGCAGAACTGATGAAACTGTGGGTGCTGCATGAGCAGCTGCTCAACTTGGTGTATCGTCTGCAGGCGCTCTGGAGTGAAGATGTTGCGCTCGCCTTTGCCTTGAGCCACAAACACCAGCTCAATCCTCCACAGAGCCTGGCTCTGTAAGTAGTAATTGGGAACAAATCTGCGCTTCCTAATGAGGGAAAAAGTTGAATTTCCATCCCCTAATCTCGCCTCTTCTTCCCCTTTTCCTGGATTTATGCTTTCATGCGTCCCCGTTTCCCCCTGACCCAGATGAGGCGCTGTCCTTTCATCTCTGCTTACTGCTGCTCCTCTCTTCTGATGATCGCTGGCTTGTAAAGGGTCCCTTTGGGGAGCGGAGGACCCCGTGTCCTCATTATCCATCTTATTGAACACTTCCTTCCTGCCCAGCTTCTCAAGCAGAAGCTCTCGCAGCGCCTCAGACTCCATGTTATCTATGTCTCGCCTGCGTCTGTCCCACGACCCCAGCTGAGTCTTTACGGCGATGGCCAGGGCGTCAAAACGTTCAGCTGAGAAGTGGCTGTGAACCTCAAAGGCACTGTAGGAGAGGTCTATGTCCAGAGGAGGGCAGTAGAGCAGCATGTAGGCAAAGAGGGCACATGGCAGCAGGACAGCTGCCCCTAAAACCGCCCCACTGGCCCAGGGTTGCGTGTAAACCCACCCCACTGCCTTCCACAGTCCACAAACCCAAGCATCCCCCGAGGAACAGCTCTGCTCCGCGGCGTGTGCTGCTCCATCCTCTTCCTCCAGCTCCTCCTCCTCTTCCTCTTCTCCACCACCCCAGCTGGTGTGAAACAGCAACGGCTCATCATCCACATCCATTGCGGCACCTGTCAGGGACACATAAGACCACTTGATCATCACTCACTTAACGTCATGGCTCTTCTCCACTTGGTCAGGTGAACATGAGCACAGCTGCGACAGAAAGGGGAACAAGGCAACTTTGAAAGTTGCGCTCAGAGAGCAAGGACACGAGCGAATTAAGTCTATCCTGAAGCAGCTGGCGACAAAGGCCGTCCACTGGTTGCTCGCATGGAGAAAATTGAGCGAGGGGGACCTTTTTCCCCCCTTCTTGTTCTTCCCCTCAAGGGCTCGTAATAGAAAATGGCTGGCTGAGTCCTGCTTTAAGATGCTGATCACAAGGGCTTGGGGTGAGACAGGCTAAAAAGCTGTGATTTAATTATTTTCTCTGCCAGCCCATGCAAGCCATTATCACCCGGAGAGCGAGTACTAGTGGGGTTCTACATATGACCAGTCGATGCAGTTGTTTCCACCCTGCACCAAATTAAATCATCTCACTTGTCTAATTAGTGACAAGAAGAGTGAGCGGGGTATAAAGAGTTTATCTCCAGCGATGGGCAGCCTTCGACTAATCGTGTCAATAGGTGTCACTTTCCCCCCCACCCCTACTCTTCTTTTCTCTCAGGCAAGACATTGCAGACAGTTTGCATTCAAGTGGCAGTGAGTCTGCTAACTGCAGCAATTTATCTATTCTCTTTAGAACGATGCTTTAAGGTCAGCCAGGTACGACATTGAATCATAATTATGTGTAAAAGATAGCTGTAGTCAGCTTTCTAGCTAGAGTGAAAAATCCATCATAAAAGAGAGTAATTTACAAATGACACGGATTAATCGATATTTGCAAAAACGATTCCTCCCGTTGGAGAGCAGGGAAGAAAGACTGTTGAGAGGCAAACCCTTAAGATGCCAAATGAACTGTAGGCGTGCTGATTTATGGGACAGTTTGTGCTCTTACATCTAAACGTAGTTGATTTCACGGTGGCAATAAAGGGAGTGCCCCACTCGGAACAGCCAGCCTCCTTGTGCGGCCACCGTGCGACAGTCAAGACTCCGGATCACAGACTGGGGGATGTATTTAACGGGCACATCATTAAAATCCTTTACCCTCCAGTTCCTCGCCCTTTGAGAGAAACACTTTTGATGTTCTCAAACATCCACCATGGTTTCACGCTGGATTTTACATTCAATAGATCTTAAAACCTGCGGAGTTGAAAGCAAGAGCTCCGCCCTGCGTTTCACGTTCTTAGAAAAAAGGCCGAATTTGGGACTTCTTTTAAAAATGGACAACACTTTGTTTTATTAAGCACCGTGTCATCCAAGTGCACGGACAAGGGCACCGCTGCCCCTTTTAATGGGAGTGCAGATGGGGCGCGCGGTGTGAATGTGAGCTTCTCGCATTTTTAGAGGATAAACGCATTAATGGTGTTTGTTTGGTAGCTTTTTGTTTTTTAATACAAAAGCTCAGGATGCATCACTAAACAAAAAGAAAACCATCTTATCATTCTTTTCAGTGACTTTTCGCTTAAACAATACAGACATATATTTTAAATATAACAAGGAAAAATAATTTGTTCCAAATTGCTGGTGTAATTTCAACTTATTATGACTCATTATCTGCAGCCATCGTGGGCTATTATTCCATAATGAGTCCTATTATGTTGTTTTCCTCTAATGCTGACTTTTCCTCGTCAAATGCGTTTTCGGTCCAAGCCTCACTATTTTGCATTGAAAAACACGAAGAACTAAACTCGGTGTGATTCTGTACTTGGGGGGTAAATGAAATTGAATGCAGCTACTAATTTTGGCAATTAGATTTTGGTAATCCTCTCTGCCCCCCTGCCCTCCCCTCTCAAGCATGTTTTGGTCGTGATGCTCTCGGCAGCAGATGAGAGGAGGCACACTGAGAAGTGCAGAAATATCATGCGAAGAGTGGGAAAGGGAGAGAAGAAAGGAGAGAAAAACGGGGAAGTGGGTGAAGAGACGGCGCAGCCATCAGACATCAAACAAACCGTGGGCTCCTTGAAAATCTGTCAAAAAGAAATTTCTGCTGGTTAATAATTATGGAGGGGAGGGGGGGGCAGCACTACAGGTGCATCTTAGGGCCCGCTTCGACATAAGAAAAAGCCTCGCAATCGAGCAGATTTCAAACTCTGAGGATGTATGAATGAATTAGGAGAGTGAGGCAGGCTCAGTGCAAGCTCTGCCTGCTTTTTATGATCCCTCTACTGTCTACATGTGCCTCGCAGCGGCGTGCAGGTACAGTGAGAGAGAGATAACTACCCACGGCCTCGGGGACGCATCCTTTCGTCTCTTCGTGATGAGTCTGGCACTCCTTCGCATCCAGGAACATTGCGCCTCGTGTACAATAATTATGAGTGGAGTACATCTGCAAAGCACTGCGAGCGGTACGCAGCCTGGTATAACTAATGTGTTTACAAGCTGCCAGAACTGTTCAACGTCGCTCCTAAAAAAAAACAATAGGAGAGAGCAGTCGATTTAAACCACACCGGCGCAGGTGTGGATTAAAAAATAAGAATAAGCTGGCATCGTGCTTTAAGTGTATGTTGGTATAAAAGCAGTCTGCCATATGGCTGAGTGTATATTAAAGCTGCGTCGCTCTTAAAGGAGAGGCTGTGGTTTTCTGTCTGTAATGCAGTTACATTGTGACAAATGAGACAGGTGAATGCATCAGCAGGCCTGGAGTGAAGTTGCACGTGCTGGGTTTTCAGGTGTAAAATTGTGTTAATTATCTGAAAAATGAATTTTTGATGCCTTTGAAATCCCGCTTGCGTTCAGGCTCACGTGGGAACTTTGTAGCTTTTACATTTTTTTTTCCCAACAAGTGATGTTTGTGCTGTACCTGCCAGCTCGTTGGAAGCACAGCAGGTGTAGGTGATGGACAGAGCTGTCTCGTATGTCGTGTTCAGCGAGATGAGGGCATCCAGGATGATGAACTGGAAAAACCTAATGTACGCACGGCCTCTCCCGTGAAAACACAGATAAGCTCAGTGTCGGTGTTATTACCCTCCTTTACATCTCTGGGTGATGTGAAGCCGGCGAGGTGTACGCTCCGAGCAATCCCCAGCTTGCTGTGAGCCTGAACCCTTCACATATCATCATTACTCTCAACATCTCTCTCAGCACTCTGTTTGCCCTCAATCTCTTGCCCTTTTCTTCCCATCAGTCTCGCTGCCTTTTTTTTTTACCCCCACATCCCTATCCTGTCCACAAAGGTGAGAGATTTGTAACCTTCAATACTGATAGCACACACACACACACACACACACACACACACACACACCCACCCCTCCACCTTCCTCAGTTTATCTCCTCTTCATCTCATCCAATATGGATATCGCATGCTGCCTGCTGACCCACACACATTGAGCTTGGTGTAGGCTCAGCCAGCATAGCACCTCATTTAAAGGGGCATTGATTTCACCACTAGTGCTTTATGAATATATTCCTTATGCATGAGCATTCAGCAGTGTGTTTATGGCAGACGTGCCTCCAATTATATACACGCTCTCAATCTGTGCTTCAAATCAAACTCTCAAGGTCCATCTGCACCCAGCAGAGATGTTCATTTTCTTATTGTCATTGAATTCCTGCTCAAACTGAAGGCAAAGCGCAAAGCTCTGTGCATACAGTGTGAGGCATCCAGGGGATCTAAAATTCAATTTCTCTCCCTCCCTTGAATGAAACTGAACACCAAAGCCTCATACTACACTGGAGGTAGTTTTTTTTTCTCCATCTTGGCAGCATAAGAGGACATAGATAACAGTATGAAACCAATTTCCTACAACTTTCTAAAACAATTAATGCACTTTATCTTTTATTTTCTAGACAAACAGCTTAAATGGTCTGCCTTCAGCAATCAGCATCTCATATTCACATTTAATTTAAAGAAAAAAGAAAAGATCAGACAAAAACAATAAGCGATCCCATCAAAGCAAAAGAAATCTGCAACACAGGGGAGAGACTTACCTGAGGCTGATGAAACAAAAATTACAGGTGGGGCGATCAGGCCTGTTTGGTCCACTTGTAATGTGCTGAACTTGTGCTCTGTAATTTCATCTGCTCCACGCACTCATGTGGGGGGGAGAGAAATGATCAGTTAGTGTTTTAATGTCATAGTTAATAACTCATCAAGAGGCACACTGAGGGAGCCCTCAGCAGAGAAACCCACACAAAAACAAATCCACTATTCTCCCCTCACTCTGCAAGAATCCTCTAACCCCGGCAGTTCATAGTGTGTTGTTTTCCTCTCCTTTTATGCTCCCCAGTCCTTTCTCTCCCTCCCCTCCTTTCTTACCCGGTTGTCGAGGCGACAGAGTCAGTGAGAGACATTTCTTCCCAGAAGCTCCTCTCTCTCTCTCCCATGGCTTTGTTCAGGCTGCTCTGCTGACTGGCTCAATAGTGTATGAGACACAAGGAGGGAAACGCGGCTCGAAAACCTCTCTGCACCTCCCGCGACAGGCTGGCGAGCCCGCGGGGATTTTTATACAACTGCAAAAATGTCACCGGAAAAAAATTCAAGCATCACTCAGCTAGTTACGGGTGACCCAAAGGATGCAGTTGTCACGGTACCGCAGCCAAGCCCCCTCCCATCACATCAGAGTTGGTATGGTCTAGTCTAGTCTCAGTTGGTGGGGAGGTGGGGTGTGCTATAAGAGGGCAATAAGAATAACTGGTTACAGTGGGAGACAAAGTGCAGGCAATTTAAAATAATCACCTGAGAAAAAGAGTTTATTAGTTATTGCTTCATTTTCATTCTTCAGCGCCGACCGAGTGAATGAAGCTGCTCAGCCTGCTGTCCTCTGTTGTAAATGGTTTGACTGCTGTGTTATACGGCATCTCTAATATTTGGTGGGGGCTGTAAATTCAGCACCGATCTCAACTGTCATGTTTGCCTTGCTGTGCCAGTACTGCACTCTCCCGGACTGTAGTGCCCTCGCTCGCTCTCATCCAACATTAATGACCAGCACTCTCCTCACACCGCTACGTTCAACTCATCCATCACCTCGCTCCTCAACCCCCGTTCGTGTTTAACTTGGATTGCCTTGACATCAAAAGGTGACAATCCATCATCTAAATGAGAGCAGATAACTGTAGTGAAATTTCACTCTTTCTGTGGCATCGTGGAGTCAAACAGAGAAGAGAGGTTTGAAAATGGGAAAGAGTGCGCGAGTGCTGAAATCCTGGAGGACACTTCATAGCTGCGCACTGTTTTCATCATGCTGGTGTAACTGTGACAGAGACATCTGTAAGAAAGACTTTTTCAGTCGCTCGAGATCAATATAGTGAAGAAGAGGAGTGAATCCAATCACATCTACTGCTAGAGCACTGTGGGGGACAAACAACCAAAAAACAAACAAACACATTGAAAACTGTTGGAGCTGCATGTTGTCTATGACACCAGACACACACACTTCACTGCATGGGATCATTTGATAGGGTTTAATGAGACCCTCCAAATGACATTTAGTCAACATTTATCACAAATATTGGCAGGCAAGAACTCATGAGGCAGTTGACACATGATCTTAATATACATTTAAATAATACAAAATATACATTCATTCATACCTTGACACATGCATACTGAACCATACATGCAACCGTATACAGAGCTTTCAGAAAAACACAGTGAAGACAGAATTACTGTTTAATAGTACCCTTAATGAGAAATTTCACACCCAAAGTGTACACGTTTCCCTCTGGCCTCAAGTACAGTTTATCTGTTTGGATTATTTTGGAGTGAATTGCACAGTTTTGGAGAAATTTGATGCCATCTCTTGAACAGAAGTGGGCTAGACGGCTCACACTTTGCAGTGCTGAAGGTACCTAAAAATCAAGCAAATTCAACTCAGCCAAGCTTTCTTTGCATTAACTGGTTAAAAAGCAAACAAAAAGAAACCCTAAAAACAGCTGGTGATAACGGGTATCACAGCATCAGTTAGTGACTGCATCATTTGACTCTTTTTCCTTAAAATACATCAACTCAGCACCTCATATTCCAGACAGTGACATTATCTGACGTGGTGCTAGTACATATATCCATCCATCCATCTTCTTCTACTTTTCCAGTTCAGGTTTGCAGGGGCACTGGAGCCTATCCCAGCTGTGATATAATGAGAGGGAGAGTACACCCTAGCTAGTCTGTCACATGCATAACACAGACAGACAGATACAGCAGTAAAATATAATGGTAACGATGTTGCTGCAAATAAGAGGAGAAAGTAATGACGATATATATATATATCATATGAACTCATAATCATCAAAATCACACTGAGTGGTAAACACACTCGCCTAGAGATCCTCGGTTCAATCCTGGGAACCCAGCCTGTGAGGGTCACAAGCCTGGATAAAATGTGAGGGTCGTGTCAGGAAAGGCATCCGGTGCCAAATCAAACACACAGTTTCATCCACTCTGACGACCTCTTGGGAAATAAGGGAGCAGCCTGAAGTGCCTTCCAATATACTTATTTTATCATTTGGTGGGTCTCGGTGCTGCTGTCCATTTCTAATGTGACAGCTGTATGTTAGAGCTCATAAACTTTAAACCTGATATACTTAAACATCACAGGTGTGTACATAAAAGAGCTGTGGATATCACTTGTCGCCAGCTTAAAGTGAAATTATTAATTATATAGTCTACAAATGTAACCAATTCATTTTCTAATTTGTACCCTATTAGCTGTATTTCCAGCAGTGTAAAGAGACTTAGCAGCAGATTAGGACCACAGACGTTCTGCATCACCAACCGAATGTATGCAAATTCCTGTCACAATGCGACATACACTTTGTGCTGCTGCAGCTTTATAGCTGGGCTTCAGTGCGTAAGTAAAGTACGGCTTCAAAAAGTTGCATATACAAAACATATTCCTTCAGCAAGGAACAACTTTTCACTGAAAGCAAACTGAAAATAAAATAATTAGTGTAAACACTGTCCTTGCACCTGATCCTAAAAGGAAACTGATCAGATCATGCTCCTGACCGGGTCATGTGTTCAGCATCAGTTACCGTGGCAATCTATCCAGGTGAAAAAGAGAGGCACCTTCGGGGACCCTGAAAACTCTGACTCGAGTTACCTCTGGTTGCCCTGTGTCATGTAGGAGCCGTCTTCTTTCATACCAAAACAATCCAGTAGATAAACAGCACTGCAGGTCGAGGAGGGGAACATGTATATTTGATCAGGGGCGAACTTTCTGTTTAAAGCAGGTCTTCCTGAAAAAGTCTAATTCTTAGGATAACATTAGTTTTGGCTATTATCTGAGCCTGAGAATGGGAGAGGAAAGCCGGGAAGAGATGCATTATTTTACATATTAATGAATATTACATAATGAAACAGTGACTGGCACAGGGGCAAATGAGTCAGGGTAAATTAAGACTGAGGTTTATGGTTGGGAATGTAACAAAAAAACAACTGCAGGCAGGATTCATCTACATTTCTAATTGTCTCGCTTTCCTGGAGGCAGTTTATCTGAGCGGCTGGAAAGGGTCAGTAATACGAACAAGCTTATATCTCTGTAGCATTAACAGTGGAAACAAGTGGATAATTGGTTTTGTGGGGAAGGAAACAAAGCTACAGGAAATTTCAGTACTATCATGTGGATCTGAAATATAACAAGCGTACTCTTTTAATGGTTAAAAAATTAAATAAAAACACACTTCAAGTGTAAGAATTGACTAACACTATGGTGCATACACACTTTATACTAAAGCTGTCCAGCTCAATGTGGCAGTCTTCTAAAAATCGTACACAAACAGAGGGAAGGATATGTTGGGCATGTTTGGTTTGCTCACCCAAAACTGGAATGTTTACAGCAGGCAGTAAAAATAGGCTCATATGCAAACGAGACTGGAAAATAAACCTGATATTGATTAGCATCGGAGCTGGAAAAACAATCCGCAGTCATCCTGTAATTTCTTTAAATGACTGCAGCCTGTCTTTAGTGTTGCATTGCAGTCTGCATTGATTTGACTTTCACTTTATTTCTATATCTGCTGAGCACTCCAACAAAGGAGATTAAAGTCAGGAAATCTAATCTAACATAGTTTTAGCACCTGCTAAAGTGGGCTCAGAGGAAGCCAGTGCCTGGAAAGCATGGAGCTGTGCAGTGTGAACACATTTCAAATTTATAAAAAAAAAATAAACACAGAGAAAATAAATACTCCATACACAACATACATTACAAAAAAATAAAACAAACTTATGACCCATCAAAGGTTTTCACACAAAGTATTGCAGGAAATGTTTGTTCGCGGCTATGCTTGTCACATTCTACCTGTTAAATAACACTTTCAGCCTGAGTGTGATTGATCTCTCTCTCTCTCTCAGCATTCACAGTGAAAGCAACAGCTCCAGTATGCTGTTCAGTGCAACTGCCAGAGAGGAAAAAAAAAAAAGTAGATCTGAATGTGCTATGGTCACTGGTCCGTGAGAAAACAGTGGTACTGCCACACATTAACACAGACTGCCGAAAACTCACATACACTCTCAAACTCTCAGAGCTCTCCTTTGACACAAGAGAAGTTGTTGCATTCCTCTGGCTACCAAAGATGAGTCTCCCGGATCTCAGAGATGATGTTATTGGCTTTTTTAAGTGCCTGAGAAAGAAAGAAAGAAAAAAAGATAGAAAGAAAAAAAGAAAGAAAGGCAGGCTGGTTAAATTGCTGGCATTAAGACCGCAGATAAAAGAAAAAAAAGAAAAAGAAAAACAACTAGCTGTTCCACGATGTTCAGAACCCATTCAGAGAACAAATTGCATCATCCAATTTTACCTCAAGCATTTGAGCAACCTCAGTCCGCTGCTGTGCTGTGTCCTGTGACTCAATGAGCAGCTCCTGGAGCAGTGGCTGTTTATAAAGCTGACCCACCAGCTCACTCTGCAGATGTTCTTTCACGTAGTTCACCAGGAAATGCATCACTGTCTTGGGCACACTGTAGACACACAGAACGACACTAGGGTACTATTCTGAATTTGCATGCTTCCACCAACCAAGAAAGCTGTAATCTGACTAGAAACTAGGGCGAGGGACTCCAGAGTTAGAGCTGAGTCCCTGTTCAGATCATTACTGCTGATTTATTTTGTGCTTAATCTCATATTAAAAAAATAAACTAAACTAATATTAAGAAACACTGATTTGTATGTATGTAGCAGCTGTATGAGAACAGACATCACTGCAGGAATCAACATCTGCACACTTACTCTCTAATAGAGCAACACAGTTAAGACAGACACATACAAAATAAACAAAAAAACACCCAGAACAAAAACTCTTATTGCAAATGCTGATATATTTAATCCCCTTACAGTAATTGAAGTAAAAGTAGGGAAAACAGTGCATGAGTTAATATCCACAGAGACTAAATCTAATGTCCTCACTAAATGTGTCACCCTCTAGTTTACATGTAAAGATAACCCCTTCATCTTTTTTAGAGGAAAAATAAAAGCTCTCATTATATAAGAAGCCTTTGTTCATGTAGTTAGACTGCTCTTTCAATGCAGCTCTTTTATCTAAGTAACAACTGATAAGATAAAAGGTTAAAGCTGCTAACCCCGAGCCACACTGACAGCACCATCAGGCACATCTAATTGTGAAGTTAATACACGCACGCAGTGGCACGCTTGCTCTCGGTGCCCTGCGGCCAGGCAGAAAAGATGCAAATGAGGGAAAAATCTGATGGATTTCATTAAAAAACAACATTTTCATCTGACCAATACATATCAGCACTGATCTAACATTAAAGGTGTTGGGAGAAGAAGAGCATCACGATACGTCTCACCTGAACAAATACAGCTACAAATGTTACACCTGAGCTGACATTTAGACTTGTACGCCTGTCGTTCAGGAAGCCTGAACACACTTTTCTGAACTTTTGACTGAGTGGCTAAGCTGCCTGTTGGAGACAAGCCCACCCCTGTCCATAGCTAAAACCAGTCCATGCAGGCAAATGCAAGTAAATGGACTTATACTGGATCATTACTTTAATATAACCGGAGCAGACAACATTTTATAAACGAGTGAACACTTCACCCAGACTTTCAGTCAGGGAACATTTCCCCTAAGGAATAAATCAGAAACTGCTCTCTGAACACAGATCGTACAAGCACTCGCATTAAGCATCATCAGGCAGAAATCCATCAGCATGAGCTCCTTCTGCAGCAAAATACAGCTCCGCGGGAACCATAGTGGTCACAGTTGTACTCTCAGACCTTGAGGGAGGATTTAGCAATGTCATGTTTGATGGTATGAAATGGACAGTGACGGGGCTGCGTGTTAACTATTTAAAGTTCAGGCTCAGTGTTTTAATGTGTCAGATAGACAGACAGCCTTCAGATTTTTG